TATACCAAAATAAAACTTCTGAATAACAGATCATTTTTCCATGATTCAGTCTTGTTCCTCTGTTTAATGAATAAGTCAGTTACTCTTCAACTTCAGTCATACTCTCAAAAGTCCTGAACAATCCAGAAAGGAAGATCCACCTCTCCTAAGTATTTTTATTTTTAAAAAATTCACTACACTGAACAAGATAACATTTCACTTCCAAAGTTAAGTCCAAAAAAAAAAAAAAATTAACTGTGACTTCTTACATCTGTATGTCAAAATCAGACTCTTAGTGAAATAGTTCTAATAAACACTCCCTCCAGTAACCCTCATTTCCTCCCCAGAATTTATGAACAATTCCTTTGGCTCCAGAGAATCAATCCTGAATTCTTGCTAAGATTGCACCACTGCATTCCAGCTTTGGTGAGAGAGCAAGACTCCGTCTCAAAACAAGGAAAACCTGGAGTAAAAGGAGAATCTGACTTCCTGAGTTATCACATTAAGTTTGAAACATCCAGTTTATAACAAAAACAAATCACAAGGCACACAAAGAAACTGGAAAGTATGGCCCATTCAAAGGAACTAAGTAAGTGAATATAAAATACACCTGAGGATACTCAGATATTAGACATACTTATTAGACAAAAACTTAACCACAACTCTTAAAGATGCCCAAAGAGCTAAAGAAAGACATGGATACTAAAGGAAAATTACCTGTGAGCAAAATAAGAACCTCAATAAAGAGATAATTATAAAAAGAAATCAAAAAGTATTTTGCAATTAAAAATTAAAATACCTGAAATAATAAAAAAAAAATTACTAGAAGGGGCCAGGCACGGTAGCTCACGCCTGTAATCCCAGCACTTTGGGAAGCTGAGGTGGGCAGATCATGAGGTCAGGAGATCAAGACCAGCCTGGGCAACACGGTGAAACCTCGTGTCTTACTAAAAATATGAAAATTAGCCAGGTGTGGTGGCGGCACCTGTAGTCCCAGTGACTTGGGAGGCTGAGGCAGGAGATTTGCTTGAACCTGGGAGGTGGAGGTTGCAGAGAGATTGCGCCACTGCACTCCAGCCTGGGCTACAGAGTGAGACTCCATATCAAAAAAAAAAAAAATTAGTAGAAGGGATTGATTTGACCAAGCAGAGAAAGAATTAGCAAATCTGAAGACAAAACAATTGAAATAATCCTGTGTCAGAAACACAAGGAAAATGGTTGCAGGAACATCAACTGAGCTTAAGGGACCTGTGGGACAGCATCAAGTGGACCAAATCAGTTTATAAGAATCACAGAACAGACAGAGGCAAGAAAAGAACATCTGAAGAAATAATGAAAATCTAAGAAACTTCCCAAGTTTGATTTAAAATATTAAGACATCATAAATATCCAAGGCTTGGCATGGGGGCTCCCATCTGTACACTCAGTGCTCTGGGAGGCCAAGGTGGAAGGGTTGTTACAGGCCAGGAATTCAAGATCAGCCTGGGAAACACAGTGAGACTCTGTCTCTATGAAAAAAACCATAGTTAAAATGAAAAGCTGGTAGGGTGGTGTGCACATACAATCTCAGCTACTCAGGAAGCTCATGCGAAAGGACTGCTTGAGCCCTTTCAGCCTGGGTGACTGAGTGAGACCGTCTTTTTTTTTTTTTTTTTTTTTGGAGATGGAGTTTCACTCTTGTTGCAAGGGCACAGTCTCAGCTCACTGCAGCCTCTGCCTCCCGAGTTCAAGCGATTCTCTTGCCTCAGCCTCCCAAGTAGCTGGGATTACAGTTACCCGCCACCACGCCTGGCTAATTTTGTATTTTTAGTAGAGATGGGGTTTCTCCATGTTGGTCAGGCTGGTCTCAACCACCCGACCTCAGATGATCCGCCCGCCTCGGCCTCCCAAAGTGCTGGGATTACGGGCGTGAGCCCCTGCGCCCAGCCATGAGACCCTGCCTCTATTAAAACTTACTTTCACAAAAACCAAGAAGCTCAACAAACTCAAAATAGGATCAATTCAAAGTATCTCACCCAACACATTATAATTAAAGTATCAAAAGACAATCTTGAATGAAACAAGGGAGAAGCTACTTCTCACATACAAAGGAAGACAAAGAATCTTGAATGAAACAAGGGAGAAGCTACTTCTCACATACAAAGGATCCTCAGTCAGATTATCACTAGATTTCTTTTTTTTTTTTTCTTTTCTGAGACAGAGTCTCCCTCTGTTGCCAGGCTGAAATTCAATGGCCAATCTTGGCTCACTGCAACCTCCGCCTCCTGGTTTCAAGCAATTCTCCCGCCTGAGCCTCCCAAGTAGCTGAGATTACAGGCACCTGCCACTACGCCCCACTAACTTTTCAGCCTGGGTTTCAGAGATGAGGTTTCACCATGTTGGCCAGGCTGGTCTCAAACTCCTGACCTCAGGTGATCCACCCACCTCAGCCTCCCAAAGTACTGGGATTACAGGCGTGAGCCACCGTGCCTGGCTATCAGTAGATTCCTTACCAGAAACCTTGGAGGCCAGAAGGCAGCAGGGTTGATTAAGTCGAAGTACTAAGTGGGGAAATCCTTTCAACTGGGAATCTTAGATCTGACTGCTAGGGTTGAAATGTGTCCACCAAAGCTCATGTCAAAACAAAATATGAGATGTATGCATAGAGCTTTTTTCTTTTTGAAGCTCATTAGCTATCATTAGTGTTAGTGTATTTTATGTGTGGTCCAGGACAATTCTTTCAATGTAGTCCAAAGAAGCCAAAACACAGAACAACCCTGAAAAATGTACTTAACATTACTGAACTGTACATTTAAAAATGATTAGCTGGTAAAGTTTATGTTACATATACTTTACAATTTAAAATTAAAAATTTAATATGTGCAAAACAGAGATGTACAGAATAAAGCAAAAAAGTAAGAATTCTTTTAGTAAATACTGGAAAAGTGGGTCTGAGTGAGAAAAAAGTAACCCACATGCAAAACTCACAGCATAGTTAGTAAAACTATAACAGTATTAGAAGAAAATGCTGGATGGTGGGGAACCCATGGATGGTCCTGACCACTGAAGAAATGCAGCAGAGGACAATGACAGATTCTAATAAGTGAATAATGTTTATGAAATAATAGGTAGTAAGATATACATAAAAGAAAAAAAAAACACAATGGGAGAAGTCTGAAGCAGGCAAAACTCTTAAAATCCAACTCTATAATAACTTATACAAATATAAAGCTGATACCTACAATTCCCTTGATAATTTCATTTTTGAGATTTTTCCTTTTTAGGTAGGGAGCACTTTCAACACCTGATAGCACCAAGCACCAGAAACCACCCCCAGCTGACGTCAGTTGGGGGGAAAACCCTCTATTTCATTTTTTTTTTTTTTTTTTTTTCCTGAGACAGAGTCTTGCTCTGTCACCAGGCTGGAGTCCAGTGGTGGCATCTGGCTGATTGCAACCTCTGCCTCCCAGGTTCAAGCAATTCTCCTGTCTCAGCCTCCCAAGTAGCTGCGATTCCAGGTGCATGCCACCAGGTCCTGCTAATTTTTGTATTTTTTTTAGTAGAGACGGAGTTTCACCATGTTGGTCAGGTTGGTCTCGAACTCCTGACCTTGTGATCTGCCCGCCTCAGCCTTCCAAAGTGCTGAGATTACAGACATGAGCCATAGCACCTGGTCATCTTTTTTTTTTTTCTTTTTTTTTTGAGACAGAGTCTTGCTCTGTCGCCCAGGCTGGAGTGCAGCAGCCAGATCTCAGCTCACTGCAAGCTCCGCCTCCCGGGTTCACGCCATTCTCCTGCCTCAGCCTCCCGAGTAGCTTGAACTATAGGTGCCTGTAGTTCTTGTATTTTTTTATACAATTTTTTGTATTTTTTTAGTAGAGACGGGGTTTCACCATGTTATCCAGGATGGTTTTGATCTCCTGACCTCGTGATCCACCCACCTCAGCCTCCCAAAGTGCTGGGATTACAGGTGTAAGCAACCGTGCCCAGCCCACCATCTCTATTTCTTATACACAGTAATATCATAACAAGTAAGATACAAATTCACTTAATATGTAGCTTCTGTTTCTGAGTTCTGTGGGTTCCTGAGTTCTGTGGATGTCATTCAGTAAGATAAGAAAGCTACTGATCTCATCAAATCAAGGACACAATACTGTTCCCTCAGGTAGCACCAATAGCATGGCCTCAAAATATGGGAAAGATAATATTTTATGGAAGGATATATTTTAAGGCTGATCTACAGATAGGAATTTTTTTTTCCAATCCAAGCAATAAAGTTTGATGTAGATGTTCACTCCACATCCTGTCCTGATCCTCAGCGGCCAGAGGCCAGCCTGCACTTGCTTTCACACGCTGTCTTCCTTCATGGCTCCAGGCTAAGATTGCCAGGAGGCTCCTATAAATGTGGTCATCTTATGGATTAAACACTTTGTTAGTTTTGTCTGTCATCAAGCCTGGAGTGCAGTGGCATGATCACAGCTTTCTGTAACCTCCAACTCCTAAGCTCAAGTGATCCTCCCAGCTCAGCCTCCTGCACAGCTAATTTTTAAGTTTTCTGTGGAGATGGGGTCCTGCTTTTGTTGCCTAGGCTAGTGTCCAACTCCTGGTTTCAAGTAACCCTCATGCCTTGGTCTCCAAAAGTGCTGAGATTACAGGAGTGAGCCATCATGCCCAGCTCAGATTAAATACTTTGTTTGTTTGTCTTTGAGTTGGAGTCTCGCTCTGTCACCAGACTGGAGTGCCGTGGTGCAATCTTGGATCACTGCAACCTCCACCTCCCGGGTTCAAGGGATTCTCCTGCCTCAGCCTCCCAAGCGGCTGGGACTACAGACATGTGCCACCATGCCCAGCTAATTTTTGTTTTTGGTAGAGACGGGGTTTCACCATGTTGGCCAGGAGGGTTTTGATCTATTGACCTCGTGATCCACCTGCCTCAGCCTCCCAAAGTGTTGGGATTACAGGTGTGAGCCACCGCACCCGGCCCAGATTAAATACTTCTTTAGAAGATGGACTAGAAATGGGTCATCAGAAATTGTTTTTACTTACATATGAAGAATTCCAATCTTCAAAAAACTTTTAGAACTCAATCAGAACTTGAGAACTTCCTTCAGTAGGTGCTATGATTCAATAACCAGAATTTTGCTTTACTTTATATACAAGTATTTCTGTTATTTTCCTACTAAATTACATGAAGGGAGTCGTCTGCACGTGAGCTGCACCACCGAGCAGCACGCTTATCAGTGAGAAGGTGCCTGACAATTCTCAGTTGAAATGTCCTGACCAAGTTTCCCCAGAAATATGTGAGTACTCAACTGTATTAAAACTAAATGTATTGTTTTCAATGACAAATAGTCACTAATTAGTAAAATGATTACTGTGCTGTAATAGAACAAGTCCTTAGTTGAAAATTAAATGGCCACAGACTGACATATTCATAAAGCTTATCAACCATCACATATCACATTTTACAAAAATCAAGAAGACTAACAGATGGTCTCCTTCTTCTTCTTTTGTGAAACAGGGTCTTGCTCTGTCATCCAGGCTGGAGTGCAGTGGCACAATCACGGTTCACTGCAGCCTCCACCTCCTGGGCCCAAATGATCCTCCAACATCAGCCTCCCAGGTAGCTGGGACCATAGTTGCATGCCACCACTTCCGGGGGGTGTGTGTGTGTGTGTGTGTGTGTGTGTGTGTGTGGTCTCCCTATGATGCCTCGGCTGGTCTCAAACTCCTGGGCTCAAGCAATTCTCCTTCTTTGGCCTCCCAAAATGCTAGGATTACAGGCATGAGCTTAATCATACCAAAGAAATTATATTTTAAAAGTAAAGTCAAAACTAAACTTTAAGAACAAAGGAATCCTATTTCTATACTTACTAGTCCCAGGTAGACAAACAACATGGCCTTCCTCAGGCTCTTCCTGAGTCGTTTCAGAAGAGTGTGAGCCATGAGCAACCAGCGCTGTTATTTTCTGGGTGAAACTGCCACTTTACTGTTTTCATTTGCCTGTTGAAATAACTTAGCTGTATTAATCATTTAAATTAAAATTAAACATTTTGAAGGGGAAAATATGGGGAGCAGACAACATCTACCTCATTGAAGGAGGCAGGTAATCAATGTAAAAGGAATGAGAAAAAATCACCATTGGAACCACAGGTGTAATCGGTGTTTCCAAGAGGCTTCAGCAATGACACTGAAACCAGCTCATGAAGGTTGCCGGGGAATAAAACGTTCACAGTGCTTTGATGTCTCGTCCCACAGGACTAAGAACAAAGGGGAAAGCTCCCTTCACAAGGAGATGTCCAGTGGACACCACCTCAACCAAAATTACGAAACATAGCTTCATCAATCATGGGACAAACAGACTCAAACATCCCCCGGTGTGAGGCAATAAGTACCCAACACTGCCTAATCTGGATTAGGCATTATTCTCTGTTTAATCTGAATCCACTCATGAGAACACTGTTCAATCGGTATTCTTGCCAAAATGCTTAATCTATTCTAGTCAGGAGAAGAAGAAAACCATCAGATTATGGGTCACTGTACAAAACAAAGAGCCTAGATTTTCCAAAATGTTTCATGTATTGAAAGAACTACTCCAAAGTAAATGAAGAGAGGGACATGACAACCAAAGGCAAGATTAATCTTTCATTACACTGTGGGTGTAAACCAAAAATAAAGAACATTTCGGAGACAATTAGGTAAACCTGAATATGGGTTGTACATTAAATTACTATATTATAGTTAGATGGTAGAATTGTAATTATGTAGAAATACGTCATTATTCGCAAGAGATAAATGCTGAAGTGTTGGGGTAAAACATCATGCTCTCTGCAACTTACTTTCAGATGATTCAGAGAAGAAAGTACTTACAGAAAGAGAAAGAAAATGCAGAGGTGGCAAATGCTAGCAACATGTTAATCTGAATGAAGAATATGTAGATGTCCGTTGTTTTACTTTTTAATTTTCTGTAGGCAAGGGAAAGATAGGAAGGAGGAAAGGTGCAGGTATTTCTTATCAATTCATACCTGTGAAAAACAGAGTTAAAAGAAAACCAAAGGCTTAAAATTCATGTAAACATCCAATGAGATCAATAGTAATTTTCTGTCAAATTTCTGAAAAGCCATTAAGACTGTAACATACCTGACTAGGATCACTTGTAGGTAACTTAAAGTATTTTTTTATGGAGGTTCCAGTCCTTCTACTTCATATGTTTTATTCCATCATTCCTGGAATTGCCAGTTGTTCAAAATAAACCTCTAAATGTTCATCATAAGACATTTCATCATCAATATCATCCTTTAATAAAATTCAGAAAAAATAAAACAGGCTGTAGTGAGTAAACAATAAATAATTTGTAATAAAAAGGGCTAAGACCTAAATGAGTCAATAAAATTCAGAAAAAATAAAACAGGCTCTAAGGTAGTGATTAAACAATAAATAATTTGTAATAAAAAACACTAAGACATAAATGAGTCAATAAAATTCAGAAAAAAATAAAGCAAGCTTTAAGCCATTGGCTAAACAATTTGTAATCAAAAATACACCCGATCAGACATAAATGAGTCAATAAAATTGTACACATTTTTTTTTTGAGACAGAGTCTCATTCTGTTGCCTATGAACTGAAGTGCAGTGGTGCTTGATCTCAGCTCACTGCGATCTTCACCTCCCAGGCTCCAAGCCATCCTCCCACCTCAGCCTCCTGAGTAACTGGGGCTGCTGCTGCAACACACCACACCCGGATAATTTTTGTTCATTTTTGTTTTGTAGAGATAGGGTTTCCCCATGTTGTCAGAGCTATTAAAACTCCTGGACTCCCAGCGTTCCACCTGCCTTGGCCTCCCAAAGTGCTGGGATTACAGGGGTAAGCCACCGCACCCAGCCTATTTTTATATTTGACATTAGAAAACTATTATAACTTCAGTCCAGTTATAAGTCGTCTGGCAAAAAATACTTAACCTCTTTAGCAGAGGACAGGACAGAAAGATCCTGACACATTATCAAAGCTTGGTGGCTAAATGTGCCGTCACCCAATGAATGGGAGAAGACCTTAGGCCCTATGGAAAATGGTGTGACAAATGGTTACCTCTATCAAAAAAGTACAGAAGAGCCTATCCTAAGTAAAAGAAAGAAGATTAGGGAGGAGACAGAGAGAGAGAAAGAAAGAAAACACTGCAGAAGGTTTCAATGTTGTAACACCCAGCTCCCAGCAGGACAAAGATAAAACAAAGGCTCTCCAGTCATGGTCCTAGCTGGCACTGCCTTTACACAGAGGTTCATTTGCAATTAACATTGGAAGTCTCAAAAACACTCATCGCCTTTGACTTAGCCATTTCACCTCCAATAATCTAGCATATTAAAACACTCAAAGATCGGATACATTTAGGTCAATAATTCTTTACCCACCAACTACACAATCCAAAAAAGTTCAAAAACTCCTTTGTAGCACAAGCCACTTTGTATGTTCAATAAATGCTTGATCTGTTATAATTCTGTATACTCATCTTTCAGCTAAGCCACTCATACTTTTAATTTTAATTCGCCCCAGTCTCAAAAGCCAGTGGGAACTGCCGCAGCCTCCACAGGTCAGCCAAACCCCAACCTGCGCTGCTGTTTTCCAAACATTGGTGCCTGCTGCTGCACGCTAATCTCTTTCTGCTTCCCTGTGGCTTACACCCTCCTTCTCTCCCACGTCTAAGGCTAGCACAGGCACCCCATCTTTTTCATAAAGCCTCAGCCATACCACCTGCCTCGAAATTTCTGACCCCCCATGATTCCCAGGCACATTTGGTGCTGCTGGGTGTACATAACACAACCTGAAATCTCTGCGGTTCTGCATCTCCTCTCTTTGCACCTGGCTGAAAGGGTCTCAGGAGGCATGAGGCTCAATATTTCTTGGCTCCCTCAATTTCATAACCCAGTGCTGTATACTGAGTGGCACCTCCCAGTGACTACTTTGTACCCTAAATGTTAAACAGAGGATGGTGTAAGCCATTATCAGGATGTCTCCTAAATACATTCTGAATTCCATCACTTAATAGAAGTGGCCACATTTGAATGCTGGCAGGTAGGAAGAAAAGAGGACAAAGAAACCCCAAAAGCTGGCATCATAACTACTGCCACACAAAAAGAGAATAAAATTGTAAAAGATAAAATGAAAGCAGGCCACTGCAGGACAGAAAAATCTTCCAAGCTTGTCAGTAATGTAAGTTTCTCATTTTCCAATAAACTAGCGTAGCGCAAGCCCTGTTCAGAAGTCAAGTCTATTTAAATGTTTTCCAGTATCAAGGACAAGATGAGATGAGGTTGGAAGGCGCTTGATCTACAAGAGGCACAGGGTAAGGCTACAAAAAAGGACCAAGCACCTTCTCAGCCTGCAGTGTGTGCTCAGTGTCTGTAAATCACAAGTTAGGCTGACGAAGGGCTGAGTAGTTTCACATGAATTAATAACTCTCACTTCTTGCCTCCCTGTTCTCCTCTCACCTGACCCACCCGATAAACATCCTCTCAAATTGCTTGCACGTGCTTGGAGAAGCTCATGGTACAGTCAATTGCACTCACACACAACTGGCCGTGAGCCACGGGGAAACTACGAGACAGCAAAGGCGACAACAAGGCTGGGCCAAGCGGCTATCACCTAAGAACTCTTAAGCATTACGATGGACGAGTGATTTCTCTGGGACCAGGAACCACAGAACCCTGAAGGACACACAGCTCTTTGGCTTCAAGTTCAAGGCCTGGAGCAAACGTAACATTCCCTCCCCAGTGCTCATGTCTCCTATATTTGTTGATTTGGTTCTTACAGCCCAATTGCTTTAGTTCTACTACTTCAATGTGTCTTTTTTTTTTTTTTTTTTAAGACAGGGGTCTGGCGCTCTCTGTCTGCTAGGTTGGAGTGCAGTCATGGCTTGCTGCAGCCTCAACCTCCCGGGTTCGAGCAATCCCTCTTGCCTCAGCCTCCCAAGTAGCTGGGACTACAGACAGATGCCACCATGCCCAGCTAATTTAAAGTTCTATTACTGGGATGAGGTCGTATGCTCACTCGTTGCAGGCTGGTCTTAAACTCCTGGGATCAAGCAATCCTCCTACCTTGTGGTCTTCCCAAACACGGATCATCAGGCGGTAGCCACTGCACCAGGCCATTAACACTTATATGTAAAATACATCCAGAATATAAACCACTACAAAACAAAAATACTCCATCTTGATGTAACTTACCGTACTATGGATTTGTTTTAAAAATGAGGTAAAAGTAATTAAGAAAATGAAAGCACAAAATTAGTCTATCAAAATTACAAAAACTCAAAACTGGGTAGACAAAACTTCAGAAAAGAATGAAAACAATTGGAATATAACTTCAGAAAAAAAAATGTAAAATGAAACAACAAAAGAACAATTTGTACCCTCTAAAAAACAGAGGTTAAATTAATTTTTTTTTTTTTTTAATATCTCCAGCCTGGAGGTGCAGTGGCACGCAATGATCTCCGTTGGCTCCTGCAACCTCCGCCTCCCAGGTTCAAGCGTTCTCCTGCCTCAGCTCCTGAGTAGCTGGGATTACCGCGCCCGCCAGCACTTGCCCAGCTAATTTTGTGTTTTTAGTAGAGACGGGGTTTCACCTTTGTAGGCTGGCCCCTCCCGAACTCTCCTGACCCCAGGTGATCCACCCGCCTCGGCCTCCCAAAGTGCTGGGATTACAGGCACGGCCACACGTGCCCAACCAGGAAAAATATTTAAAACAAATTAAGCAAAGATTATAAAAGTTTCAGAGTAACATAGTTCCCAAAACAATCCCACGATCCACATCAAGTCTGAGCCAAGTTGACATCCCCCATCAGGCCCCTTCCTGGTGTTGTTGGAATCTACCTTCCCACAGACAGAGGTCCCTTAGGTCCTGGGGAAGCACAGGCGGAGAGGGAGGAGGGGCTCCTGGGGTCGTGCAGGTCTCAGAAGGCTCCTCTCGGGCCCTGGAAGGCAGCCTTGGGCCCCGAGCTCTCCCCACAGTCAGGTCTACTCAGATGCCAAGGCACTGAGGCCTGTGGGCTGCTCTCTGCTGAGGGGTTATCTGTCCACAGAGAGTGTCTGTAAGTGTCATGGAAGAGAACTGAACCTGGGCTCACACAGGCACCTTCAGAGGCTGGTTCCCTGAAGTAAAACAGACACCCAGAAAGCGGGGGATTTTGAGATTCCAGGATCAGCAGGCAAGCCCTGGGCCCTGGGGAGCAGGAGGTCTCATATGACACAGGGTGGGGTGGTGACCCTGCCTTGCCACCCAGATCCTCTGTGCCATCCAGACAGAAGAGCTGCACATTGAACATACAGCACCTGGAGCACGTCATTGGTATTGCCTAGTAAGACCTGGTCTCTAACATCCCCCACAGACCTGTCTGTATTGTAATTTTTTAAAATTCGCTTTGGTGAACAAATTTCTCACTTTAGTATATTCTATAATAATAGAGGTTTACAGAAGACATACATTTGAAAGAGAGTGAAAAACAGTGTATAGATACACATGAAACAGACGTTTATATGTGTGCCTGATTTCCAAGATTGGAGAAATAGATTTAAACAGAGGCTCCCTGAATCATGCCCTCAGCCCAAGTGAGCATGGCCCTGGGGAAATGTCTTCAGGGTTTGTTTGTTGGCATTTGGCACAGATACAGAGACAGCTGACGCCCAAGCCAGTGCTCTCTACATACAGAAACCTCCAACCTCATCTTGAAAAATGGGGGCCATGAGAGTCTGCTCAAGGTCCCAGGCCCCCTGAGGCGAGGAAGGGACCCCTAGGACTGGGCACATTTCAGTGCTTCTTGGATCTGCCATGTCCCTGCTTGATGCAGGACCTACTAGTGCCCCGTGCCTCATGTGGGCAATACTGGGCCGTGTGGGCTGCGTGCTTTCGTGTGACAAGGAGCCTGGGGATAACTCCATCCTTCTCACCTTCTCACACCTTTCCCAGGAGGGGCCTGAACTGGGGGCGATTCATGGAACCTAGAGTCTCCTCAGGATGAACTAGTGATACTCACATTGGCCTCAAGGCTGGAAGAGCTGGGTCCCCCAAATGAGATGCTGGTGAGCTGGACGTGTCACTGCAGCAAATAACACAGTGCACAGCCCCTGGTATCCTGCACACGGTGGCCCGACCAGCACCCCAGTGTCTCCCTCACTAAGCAGCCTGTGGCAGGCTCCAGCCAGCTCAGGGAGCTACTCTCTAGGTGTGTGTGTTTCCTGGAAGAGAGATGTTCTAGAGCATCTCTTCTTTATAAAGGAAATCATCTCTTCCATCTCCAAGTTTCCAGGGCATTCCGCCAAGAAGTATTCTTCACCAGACTGGTTTCTTCGGTTTTCCTGATGGGACAACAGAAAGTGAGCATAGCCATAAAAAAGAACCACGGGCACGTGTCTGCTTCCCTCATCATTCTGCCCGCTTCCCTTTACTCACTCTTCCTCTTCCCACTTTTGTCTTTCTGTTGCTGCTTCTGCAGATGCAGAGGAGGAACATGCTGACACCTGTGGGGAGAACAGTTGTGTATGTCCAGAGACGCCAGTGCAGGAAAAGTCCTATCTGGGCAGAGGTGCTGCCCAGAGCAGACTAGTCTGGGAGTCCACTCAGCATGGTGGGGTCAGCTCATCTGACCCCAGCCCAGCCCTCCCTGGACCCTGAAGGGTTTGTTCAGCAAGATTCAAAGCTGCAGCCTGGGGCAGTAAACAGAAACAATGCCCAGGCAGCGGAGCAGGAGGGCTGGGGAAGGGTTTATCGACACTGAAGACCCGAGGACCTCAACTGTGTACCAGGATAAGACCAGGTCCTTCAGAACAATCACAAGAGGAAAAGAGAGAGGAAAAGGACCAGAGTAAGAAAGGAGCTCAGGAGGAGTCAGAAGAGGATAAAGAGAGGAAACTATAAGAGGGAGATCAATTACCTGCTACAGGTGGCCTGTAATGGTGGGTCCAGTTCTGGGAAGCAAGCATCAGAGTGTCAGAGGAGAAGAGAGAGCGGTGATGGGCGGCCATAAGAAGAAAAGGAAAGGGAGTTATTGTCGAGAGAACCCCCTCCAGACTCCGCTGTGTCCCAGGGCTGTGGGTAACCCCAGAGCCTCCTGATTTTTACACCACGGAGACTTCTCCACAGCCGACATCATTTCCTCTGTGCTACGAGGGAGGGACCTCCGACCCACACTTTCCAGCCTCATATTCCCATACCATGTAGCCAAGGGAGGAGGCCATGTCATTGTTTCCTCCAGGCGGCACGCCTCTTCCCCCAATGCGTGCAGCGTGGAATCCCCTCCCTCACCTCCTCCTGTAGAGGCCTGCTTCTGTTCCTTCATGAATCCCATATTTCCTTCCTCCTTGTGGACCTCCACCATTCCTACTGGTCTCCAATAGAAGAACGCCGGAAAGGAGGCCAAGGCTGCACTGCCAGCCTCCAGTCAACTTACACGGATCACACCCTGGGTCGAGGCAGCACCTGCCCAGGCCTGGGGTTGTGTTGGGAAGGCCTGTGGGAGGCAATGATGGCCAATGCCACAGATTCAGTCAGGCCTGGGTTATTGTTGGGGCCCGTGGGAGCGATCCTTAACCCCGTGTCCACAGGCCTGGGGTTTGTGTTGGGGGGCTGTGGGAGCTGATGATGGACAGCGTCACAGATACAGTGACTGTTCTATGCCTGGAATGACCCTAGAGACTTGGAAATATTCAGTGATAAATCATAAATCCCTGGCTTCTGGGTGTTGGAGCAGTGGAACAGGAATTCAAGATAAAACCTCTGTCCCAGTTGCTTTGATAAATCTGCAGGTGAAGGGCCAGCAGTTGTCAACTAGAAATGAGAGGCCTCAGGGTTGCGCGCCTAGAGCTGTGGGAAGACTAGGAGGGGGCTTCCTGTGGGCCTGACACAGAGAACAAGCTGGGCCTGACTGGAGTGTGGGGAGACAGGAACCAGGCTGTTGGGCCCAGGAAACGGTGTCACAAGACAAGTGACCCAAGAGAGGAAGCTCTGCCCTGGGCCCAGTGGATTCAGGGACCAGGCTACAGGGAGGGCGAGAGCCACTGCCTACAACAACACAGCCCCTCCACACATATCCCGGAGATTCCTGCCAGCCACAGGGCCTTGTGACACAGCTGGACTGGTGCCTCTCCAGAAGCCAATGTAGGTTTCATTCAAAGCCCACAGTTGGGATTAGGATTGGGATTGGGTGAGGAGTGGAGGCCAAAACTGTGCTCCAGTCAAGTGTTCCGCCCTGAGGACTGCCCAGGATGAGGGCAGGAATCGAAGGAAGGACTCCTGTGTCACAAAGGGGCACTTGCTTGGAGCGGCAGCAGACGGCTGAGGACAGAACGGGAAGTGCCATTGCAGGTCCCAAGAGTGTGAGAAAGATTACTTGGGCTCCTTTCAGCTCCTGGCACACGTATGAAAGACTTTGTCTTCAGGATCACGTAGCACCTGTGGTGTGTCCCACCTCCCAGCGTTACACCTGCACACTCATCCTGTCATGCATCTCCATTCACAACAAAAGCACTGCCTCATCAAACCCAGGGCTCTGGTGCTTGCTGTAGCAACAGGACTGATCTGGTCTTTGCAAAATGTAATCTTTAAACACCAGAGCAGAAATGATGGTGACAACACAACTCACACAAAGCTCATGAGAACAAAACTCTTACAATTTTCTCATTAAGATACATAAACCAAATCACACTTCTACACCTATTTCCTTTCCTTATTTAGTCACTTCACTGATCCCATCCCTAGGCTCCAAAACAAGTGTCACCCAATCCCCAAGAACCCTCACCCCTCACTGTGGGTAGCCCTGGAGTGTTGGTCCCATACCTGACCAGTCTATTTCCTCCTGGATGGATCCAGAGGTGGTGCCCATGAGCCCAAGTACAGAGACACAAACATCAGCACTACTGCTCAGTCCACGGTGACTCTCCCTGGGCTCTGAACTCAGGGCCATTAGGAAGGCCCCTGGTCACAGTTGGGGAGCCTTCAGGTGAGACAGAGAACCCGAATAATCCCTTTCAGCATTCACCGACATGGCTCAGAGGATCTCTTGCCAATCCCAGAACCGAGATTCCAGCCTTGATGCACATGCACTGAGTCAGGTGAGTGCAGTGAACAGAATGTGGGCCAGACTCACAGCAGCTGCTTTGGGTGATTCAGGAGAATGGAGATGCTCTCTTAAGGAAACTGTAGACCTTTGGCAGCTGAAGACTCATAGTATAATCATGTGAGAGAAAGGTTATGAATTTTCACTTATTTAAACATGGGGGCTCATATGCCATGG